CTGTCCTGGCTGCCCTGGCATCTCCCATCCCCAGAGTGACCACAGGGAGCGGTGGCAGCCCCCAGCCCGTCCCTATGGCCGAGGCAGTGTCCAGGTGTCRTTCCCACGTGTCCAGCCTCTGCCACCTTTCCCATGCACAGGCGGGTCCTGGTGGCTTCTTAATAACAGCAATTCCCAAATTGCTGCTGTGGGATTGACTTCATTGGAAAGAGTTAAAATGTTTCGCTTGATTGAACATCTGCTACCCTTAATTCTGGGTTTGTTTAAGGGGAGCTTTGGCTGCCGTGCCTGGGATGTGCCTGGATTTTGTTATCTCCATGTGCTCCCAGTGCCGGGGACAGCCCAGCCCTGCTCGTCCCATCCCATCCCATGGATCCCATCCCATCCCATAAAAACAGCAGGGTGTGGTGTCCCTCACTTCCTGAGCCTCATATCCCTGAGCTGGCATCGTCCCCCACCGTGGTGGTGTCTTGGTTGATTTTGTCCCCATCCAACTGTGGATAGAGCCAGGATTTGGGATCTCAGGGACCTTCTGAACCTTCCCAATCCCAATCCCAATTCCCAGTTTGTCCCAGACCTCGTGTCTGTGGGGGGAGGGAGGTCCAGAGGAGACCATTCCCTCCACCCCAGCGAGGACCTGTTTGGATGCACTTCAAAACACACATCACCAAATTCTTTCCAGAGGATGTATGGAGTAATTAGCTGATGGGTTAATTGTCGGGTTAATTAACCATTGCTGGGAAAGATGGAGATTTTTCCATTGCAGGGTTGGTGGCCCCATTCCCAACTGGAGAGGGCCCCTGAACATGGAGCATGAGGGTCCCATTCCCAGCCTTCCCTGCAGCCCAGCTGTCCTAATTATTTCCTTCTCCCAATAACTAATTTTGGGGAAAATTTAGGGAAAAAAATTTTAAAAAGCCATGTCTTATCTCCAGCCTCACCTCTAGTGCTGCAGGGCTGTTTTCCCATTTTTCCCCAGCCCATTCCCGTTCTGCAGGGGCCAAACCCCTGTTTGGTTCCGTGGCATTAATTTTACAACAACCCTGGAGCGGCTCCAAAGCCAAGTTTTCCRCGCTGTGAATCRTCCTRGATCCGTTTAATGGAACACATCCCRCAGTTAAYGATCCCTCGGGGAATTAAACCYGGTCCAGCTGCTAATCATCCCTCGGTTTTGCAGGAAGGACATGAGGGAGAGGACACGGAGCTTTTCCACGGCGTGGCTGATTATCGACGTTTGATTATTGATTTCACCCCCTTTTTACCACCAATTCAAACAGCGGGATCAATTAACCAGAAGGATAATTGAGATATCCYAGCTGGAATGGGAAAGGATACAAGGAACAGCTACTCACATCCTTTTCTGCTTTTTTTTTCGTAGAGTGGCCGGAGTTTGTGGCCAACTACGCTCCGTGGTGGGCAACGCACACGCTGGACTGGCTGCGCTACGGCAAGAAGGTGCTGGTGGTGCACTTCGAGGACCTCAAACGGGACCTGTTCGTGCAGCTGCAGAGGATGGTGGGGCTGCTGGGCGTGCCAGCCTGCGAGGACAGGCTGCTGTGCGTGGAGGGACAGAAGGACGGCAACTTCAAGCGCTCGGGGCTGCGGAAACTGGAGTACGACCCCTACACGCCCGAGATGAGGAAAGCCATCAGYGGCTACATCCGAACCGTGGACGCCGCGCTCAAGCTGCGCAACCTCTCGGGGGTTCCTGAGGATTATTACCCCAGATGATGGTGATCTTGGTGGCCTGGGGGTGGCCCGGTGCTCCCTGGCCTCTGCCTAATTCCACCCAGTGGGTGGCTCCTCTTTTAACCCCCCTTGTGCCGCTGTCGTAGCTGTCGCTCGCTCCCTGCATGAGCCGCCAAAGGTCCCCCCGGCCACCGCTGAGCTTCTCTGCCGACCCCGGCACGGGGACATGGGTGCCTTCGCTGCCCTGGGGTCCCTGCTCTCCTTCTGGCCCTCCTGGGAAGGGCGATGGGATGTTTGGGGTCCCCTCGTGCTGTCCTGGGGATGCCACACCCGACTCACCCAGAGCTGAGCTCCCTGGGGTGCGTGTCCCAAAAATCCCAGCCCGGGAAGGATTCCCCATGTCCTGGGATGGAATCTTCATCCTTCCCAGGGGAGGGAGGATGGACTGAGGGGGTGGCACCATGTGGGTGATGCTCCCATGGATCCACCTGAGGTTATGGGATGGGGAAGGCTGTGCTGTGCTGTGCCCCCACACAAGGCGGCTGCGGCCCCTTGAGCCATCCCGTGGCTCCCTGAAAATTCCCTGGAATTCCTCAGCCACAGCACTGGGAAAAATTGCTGCTCCAGCCCCTGGGAGATCCCCACCAGGGTGGCTGCAGGTGGAAGCTGCCCTTCCCTGTGGATTCTGCTCCAGTGGGGGATGTTTTCCCTGGACAGAGGAGCTGTCAGGACCCACAAGCTCATCCAGGCCTCATGAGCCAGAACAGCCCCCAGGAGCATTTTGGGGGTGCCAGAAGCAGTTTTTGGGGTCAGAAACGGAGTCCACCCTCTGATCCAGCAGCACCCAACCCCGCCATGGGGAGCAAACCCCGGGGCTGAGCTTTGGGGTGTCCCAAAGCCAAACCAAAGGATCCCACACGCCGGGAACGTGCCGATTTCCAGGCTGGCTTCACGCACAGCTGCATGTGGTCCCTGGCTGTCCCCTCATCCCACGCCACCCTCCCCATCCTGGCTTTGCCCTCAGTGAGCTCCCCAAAGCTCCCCAAMGCCCTGCCAGACCCCCTTGGATGTAGGTGCAAAAGCCATAAATCGTGCGCAGCCTTTTCTAGAGTTAGCGATTCACCAAACGGCTTTTACCGCTCAATCCCGATAGAAACGCGGGCACAGGTCGAACCCAGAGACCTCTCTCGGTCTCTGTTCCAAGAGAGAAGAAAATCCCCAGAGTAAAAAAAAAAAAAAAAAAGGAGAATTTCAATAAAAATCTATTTTTCTAACGTGCGTGCGGAGCAGAGCTGGGCTGGGGGGGCTCCTGCTCTCCTGGTTTTTTGGGAGAGTGGGTTTTTTTTGGGATTGAGGGCGGCAGGAATGGAGCTGAGCCTGTGTTCCTTTTCTCACTGGGTTGTCTACCTCAGACAGAATGAACTCTCAGGGCATCCCAGCTATTAAAGGAGGGGTTTTGTTGCTGTTCCACCTCCCCCGTGTGTTTGTGGGGTCACCTGAGTGCCCCCAACCCATCCCACACCGGGGATGTGGCAGTGAGGGGAGAACACCTCCTCTCCCCTTTGATCCCTTTAATTAATTTCTGTGCTTAAATCCATTAATGGGCATTGAAATCCCATTTATGTCATTTCTGTATTGGCAACGCCACCGAAGTGGCTCCTTTTTGGGAGCTTTGGTCCCTGCAGAGTGTCCTTTAAAGGCAGGTTTAATGGGATGTGTGGTGGGAATGGGGAGATTCACCTCAGGATTTATTCCTGACCTTCCTCAGCACCAGAGTGAGAGCTCGGTGCGATTTATTCTGGACTTGGTGAAATTCCCTTTTTTTTTATTTTTTTTTAGCAGTGATGAAGCATCACATTGGGCTTGATTTGATCTGACAGGCCTGGCTGCCAAAGGGGCAGCGCTCCCTCCGCTCCTCGGAAGTAATTAACCCCCCAAAGCCAATTAATCGGCGAGATAAAGCAATTAAGGGATGACATCRCGTGCGGGCGCTCAGAGCCTGGGCTGCACCTCGGGACGAGGGAGGGGAGGACACCCCACATCCACACCTCCACAAACCCCACAAAAAAAATCTGGGAATCTCCCCCAGCCATCAGCAGGATCAATTTTACCTCTTCCTTTTATTGTCCCCKGCTTTTATTGCACCGCAATTGCTTTTATTTAAATTTAAACCGCACTGAAATGGAGCAGTTGGAAGATATTATGATGATATTACGGAGAGCTGCACATCTGGCTGCACCTCTGGATTATGGGATCCCCCTTTCCCCTCATCCCACTGACGCAGGAGCAGCTTCCCCCTCCTGCACGCACAGCTCAKGCTGCAGCTCCGTGCTCTGATTTATTCTGATTATTTTGATTTTTTTTTTTTTATTTCTTAAATGCTGGGCTGTATTTCAACCGCGTGGGACTGGCACGCAAGGATAAAATCCCTATTCCCCCCTCTGGAAAAAAGGAGCCAAACCATCCTTCCTGCATCGCTTTCCTGGGGAAAGCTCTTGACATTTAATCGCCTCCTCGGTGCCCGGGGGAGGCAGCACTCAGCTTTTCCGTGAGGATTTGAAAAGCTGGGAATCTTTCTGCTTGACTCGGCTCAAGCATCCCTGTGTGGGCAGGGTGGGGCTGAGAGGACCCTGACCTCCCTTTTTCCGTGGATTCCTGCAGGGAAATTCATCTATTTTTGGCAATCTCGCATCCCTGGGAGCGTTTTTCTGCATCCTCCTCTTTCCTGGGCTGGATGGGTTGCTCGGCTGTTGCCRTGGTAACGGCGTCTGCACCAAAAGCGCCCGCATTTCCCCCAATTTTGGGTGGGTTTTGTGCTCGCTGGTCCCTGGGATGCAGGAGATGATGCTGGAGATGATTCCAAGCGTGGATCCGGGCCAGGATCCCTCCCTGGTGGGTGATCCTTTGGGGTGAATTCAGGGGGTTTTGGGCAATGCCCCCCGTGATGAAAGCAATGCTGTGGGGCTCAGACAGAAGGAGTTCCCCTTTTTCCCCAATTAAATCCCCTGAAGTTCCTGCTGACTTCAAAAATAAAAAGGGAAATCGCCCCACTCAGCAGCAGCACTTCCACAAAAACCCCATAATGAGGAGATGTGCCATAAATCTGAGAGCAGCCATCCCCATCCCTGACAAAACCAACAGGTTTGTGTATCAGCTTGGCTGTTTCCCCTAAAATTTACAGCTGACAGCGTGCCTGAGCACAGCAGGGATAATTCAAACCTGGCTCCAACCTCTGAGCAAAGGGAGAGGGGAACACATTTATTCCCTTTTTATTTTTTTTTTAATTTTAAATTTAATTCCAATTCCAAATAAAGCCAGTGATTTACGGGAGAGGGAAAGCACAGCTTTATTTTAGGGMCGTGACAGCCAAGTGAAAAAGAGCTGTCATTAAGGATGGTAACACAATCCACGGGAATGGGGTTTGGTGTATTCCYGAGTGATTTCTCCCAGGAAACGAGAGCCAGCCCCGTGTTTGGGGTGGGGGATAAATCCTTGGTGATTCCCAGCAGATCCCAGTGGGCTGTGACACCTTCACTGGGGTCTGGGGGGGGCTGAACCCCACAAAACAGTGGGGTTCTGGGATAGGGAGATGTGGGGTCACTTGGAATGGGGTTTGGGGCTGTGGTTTGGGGTCCAGAGGTGTGGAGTGGGGATTCTGAGCTGAGGGATGGACATGGGGGTCCTGGGCTGAAATTTTGGTCACAGAGTTTGGGATAAAGGTCCTGGATGAGGTTTGGGATCCCAAGGCCGGGAATGGGGGCACTGGAATGGGTTTTGGTGCCAGCTCCAAAGCCTGAAGCTCTTCCCCACAATCCCTGACCTACCCTAAAATCCTGATCCTCTCTCCTAATCCCATATTCCAYGGGGATGGCGCTGGCTCTGCATCCCGCTCACCCCACAATTCCGATTCCCAGGCACCAAACACAACTGCATCCCAATTCCACCGATTTCTGCCCCAAAAGGAAGAGCTGCAGCTCCCACCCAGCCCCTTTTCCTTTTCCTGGATGCCAATTCCAGTCGGTGCACGTTCCCCTGGAGCTGCCCGCGGTCATTAACCTCCCGCTGCCGTTAATCAAGAGGACTTTGTTAATTAACAGCTAAGGACGTCTCCAGCCGAGCAGCGCAGGGGCCGCACCGGGGTCACCGGGACACATCCGAGGATGCTCCATTTGACAGATCTGAGCTTCCCAACACCGAGGGRGAGAGCAGCCCCCTCCCCTCCGTGACCAAAATATCCAACACCACAAAAAAAAAAAAATCCATGGAAAGCTGACAGGAGATTCCGAGGCTGCAGCTCCTGCAGTATTTTGGGAATATCGGAGGAATCAGGGCAATACTGAGCGGCGTTTCTTCGCCACTCTGCCAAAAAGGAAAGAAAAGCCTGGCTGAGGAGGCTGAAGTTTTCTCAGGAATGTTTTTTTTCCCCTGTTTTCCCTTTTATAGGCACATAAAAATGTGCATTTTTAGCRCTCCCTGGGTGATCTGTTTGCCGCCTGTCTCAGCGGGTGACGGGAAGAGAAATCACTGACGCTCCATGGGGATCTCAATCCAAAGCTTACGGGGTCCAGCAGGAAAATCCCAGAGGATTTTTCCTTTCTTTTCCCCATCCTCACCCCAAACCTGGCCAGGATGAGGAGACCCAGGAACAAGAGGGGCCGGAACAGCAGTGCTGGTGTTGGGGTTGAGCATTTGGAGCCCTGTGGGGAAGCAGAATCCGACCCCTTCCCCACGTCCCTGTTCCCCCCAAAACAGCCTCAAGGATGAGGGGGTCTGCGGGATGCAGGAGGCGGTGGGATGCAGACAGATTCCACAGATCCCACAGACAGATCCCACAGACAGATCCCACAGAAAGATCCCACAGAAAGGTCTCACATGTGGACACGAGGAAAATTCCTCTTTTCTCCCCATAAATTCCTCTTTTTTCCCCTAAAGGACCATCTGGTCTTTCCAGGGATGAATACAAGTGGGAATCCCACAAGGATCATCCATCCTAAAGCTCATCCAAGAGGTTCAGACCCCACCTCAGTCACTCAAGCCCAATCCCTCTGCTCCTGAGCTCTTTCCACAATCCCAAATCCAGCACCGGGGATCAGGAATACACACAGTGACAAACCCTGGGTTCCTTCTTGCTCCACACACCGAGGTATTTGTCTGAAAAACAGAGATTTTATTAAATAAGCAAACGGCTACAAAATCAAACTCAAATATTTGGGAAACTTGGGATTCCCAAGCTGCCATTAMAGCGAGGATTTAACCCCAGGGTAAGTACCAAGGCACTGCTTTTTTTTTTGGGAAAGCTGGAGCWATAACAGATGGGCTTAGAAAAAAACACCCACTGGAATTAGTGAGGAGCATCCCGACCCCAGCACGGACCCGAGCGGCAGTGGGATGGCATCCTGTCCTCGAGGCTTCATCCCACTGTTCCCACATCCAAGGATGGGGCAGGGGAGCCCAGGCTGCTCCAAACCCTGAGCCCAAAAACGCCCCAGTGGCTGCTGGCTCCGGGTAAATTCAGCTCCCACTGTTCCCCAAATGGATTCTCTGCAGGTTCTGTGTGTCCCTGTCACCGCCCCGTCTGTCCTATCCCACTCTTTATAGGATCACGGCAGCCTTCCAGCAGAATTAATTAATAAATTCTGGGGGAGATGAGCAAGAGGAGCYTCCTCCCACCACCAACGAGGCCCGGCAGCCTCCTCAGGCACAGCATCTTCCACGGGCACGGATCCTGTACGGGATTTTGGGGGAAATCCTCTGCGGATCAGGGCTGGGGGTTGCCCTGGGATTTCAGGTGGTCAGCGCTCCTTAGGGAAGTGGGCAGATCCCAACCCCAGGAGATTCCGAGACAATCCAGGTGCTGAGTGTCCCCTCACACTGAGGAGGGGATCAAGGCGGGGCGGGCAGGCAGCGCCGGGGCGGAGAGGACGCCGGATAATCCGTCTGAAATCCCAAAATCCAGCTCCCGCCGCAGCATCCGCTCTGATCCGCGACGTTTCTGCGGCTCAATTACCGGGGCTTTACTCGTACCTGCGGCTGGCACGATCTGCTGCCTGCAAAGAGCTCCCTGTCTTTTCCTGGGAGCTGCCTCTCCTGTTTTTTTTTTTTTTTAATTTTTGTTTTCCATTTTCTAATTTCCAGTGAAAGCTATAAATAAATATTTCAGCCTTTGTGGCCTCCTGGGGGCAGAACAACGCTTCAAACCATGCACAATGTCCTCCTGAAATGTCCACAGTGCCACTGGGACTGCCCTAAACCCAAATCCAGGGATTTCTCGCTTTCCTGGGAGTGACAGGCTGGGGGTGACACATAAACGAGGGTGACACCGGTGTTGTGGTGAAGGAGCCCTRATGGAGAAGGAGCTCCCAAATCAACAGGGTGTGAAATTGGATGGAGGGGGTGGCTCAGTCCATCCTTTGCTGCAGAGATTGGTGTGGGGCAGGGGGATTTCCCACGAGATTCCCAGAGTTTTCCAAGATGGGAAAGAGAAAATCATCCCATAGAACCCACTGGTCCCGGCTGGTGACGGAGCCACACCCCTCCGGATGCAGGAGGGAACAGCAGATCCTCCCCAGGAGCTCATTCCCAGYTCGTGGATCTGTTCCTGGTCCCAGACATCCAACAGCTCTGCAGAACGTACCGTGTGGAATGCGCCCATCAAAGGCACAGTCAAAAACGCATTTCAAATTGGCTTTTCCTGCTTTTTTTCTCCCAGTTTTCCATGCTGGTGACTCTGTGCGTGAGCCCAGTCCCCAGGCTGGCAGGTGGCCCTGGCTCTGGGTCACTTAGGAGATATTTGAGATGTCCCAGTTCTTYGAGGCGGGATATTCCAACCCCAAAAGAGTCACAAACGTCTTGGTCTTGTACCAAAATACCTCAAAGATTTACCACAAGGGGACAGAGGAGTGTCACCAGCCTGGACATGGCCAGGATGCCATTCCAGACATCCYCCACCCCACCATGGTCTCTGAGAACACCAGGAAAGCCCTTCCCAAGGGAATGTCAAAGTGGGATGGGAACGCCCTAAAGTGTTTTCCGAGTTTGGGGTAAGGATTTTTGCAATCCCACACAAAATCAAGGGTGGTTGTGTCTTCTCCATCCTTTGGGGATCCCCATCCTCTGCCAGCCTCCAGTCAAAATTGGGCTGTAGGACAGTGCTGCATGGTGCTTGACCCACACCATGGCCACCACAGCGGTGGTCACTGTCACAGCAGTGGCCATGGCCAATACCAGAGGCCTCCATCCCTCCTTCAGGCCGATTTTAAACAACTGTTGTCTCCTTCTCGGTCATGGAGGAGATCTTGGAGAAGCTCCTGTGCACGATGCTGGAATGTCCCGTCTCCTCGCTGAGGGCATTCACCAGCCTGGACAGCAGGGTCACCTTGAACTTCTTGAAGTCCTGGCCCATGAAGACGTAGAGCACGGGGTTCATGCAGCTGTTGGAGGCCGCCAGTGCTGTGGTGAGGGGGATGCTGACCTCAAACACGGACCAGGGCACCGTGTCGGGCACCGTCTCCAGCAGGTTCACCAGGTGGTAGGGACTCCAGCAGAGGAAGAAGGTGACAATGATGGTGACGATGATCTTGAAGGGCTTCTTGGACTTGGCCAGGCGGTTGCGGCGCAGGTTGAGGACGATGGCCACGTAGCAGAAGGTGATGATGGTGATGGGRATGACGTAGCCGGCCAGGAACCTGGTGACGTTCACCGTGCGGTGCCTCATCAGGGCCAGCCCTTCGTAGGATTTGTTCCTGGACAGGGAGAAGTTGCTGAAGCAAATCACGGAGCTGCGGGTCTGCGCCGTGTCMCGGAAGACGAGCGAGGGGCAGCTCATGACGATGCCCACGGTCCAGATGACCAGACAAACCCCGTAGGCCAGGTTGGTGGAGCGGTGGTTCTGCGACCACACCGGGAACACCACGGACACGTAGCGGTCGAAGCTGATGGTGGTGAGCAGCAGGACGCTGGTGTACATGTTGAGGATGAGGAGGAAGGAGTTGAGCTTGCACATGACGGTGCCGAAGATCCAGTGGTAGCTCATGGCCGTGTAGGCGATGTTGATGGGCAGGAAAATGTTGAAGAGAAAGTCGGCCACGGCCAGGTTGAGGAACCACACGGCGTTGACCGACTTCTTCATCTTGAGGGTGATGATGGCGATGACAAGGCCGTTGCCCAGGATGCCCAGCACGCAGGACACGCTGTAGATGACCACGGACACGATCCTGGCGATGTCCTTGGGGTCGTGGGATGGGTCGGCCCACACGCTGCCCGTGTCCTCGTAGGTGTAGTCCTGGTAGTCGCTGTAGTTACTGATGCTGTCTGAGTAATCGGACAGGTTGGGCAGCGCCATGGTCCACACGGATTGTTTTCTGATTGTTTTCCCCTGCTGAGCAAACACTTGGTGTTAATCACGGCCAGGAGAGAGGGAGGGACAATCCCTGAGTGTGGGAATTGGGGACAGGGAGCAGGGGGACAAAGCACACAGGAATGGGGGATTCCATGGGAGATCCCAAATCAGATGCTCCCGCAGCTCCTCGCTGGTTTCCACCCCCAGCCGTGAGACATCAGGACGTGATTCAGTCCCTCAGCTCCACCAGGATGTGGCTGCAGCCTCATCCTGCAAAAAGCTTGATCACCCGCCTACTTCCAGGGGAAAAACCGGGATAATGCTCATTAACAGCTCATCGGGAGCTCTGAGACCTTCCAATCTGCAACAGATTATGGCCTTTCTCTTTTCTTTTTGTCCTGAGTTGGACTGGAAACCCAACGGGAAGCTCCCCCCACATTCCACCGATTCCAGGCACACTCTCACCTTTCTGTCACGATTGGAGACAGGTGACAATTCAGTGTCCCAGGGCACCACGGCAGCTCCCTCCACACCGGCCTAAGGAACGAGCTGAAACATTAAAGCCAGGATCAAAGAGAGGTCACTCACCCCCCGATGTGGGGTTCAGGGAGGAAACCCATTCAAGGTGTGGCCATAATTAACCCTCCCTCAGGGGCTGTGCTGGCTTAGGGACCCWCCTCAACACCAGTCTGGGGAAATTGGGGTCCTGCCATGATCCCAGCGTTTTTTGGGATAATCCAGGACAGAATTCCCTTCCTGTACCCTCTGTAGGAGCACCCAACATGAGCAGCATCCACAGGTACACACGAGGAACCAAACCATGAGCCACAGGTTACCACAAAAAATTAAAAATAGAAATGAGGTACCCTTTATCTGCAGGAGCTGTTTTACATCCTGGGCTTTCATAGAGTGCTTTTCCTGATTCAATCAGTGCCCTGTGTGCTTAAAAGTGCTAATTTTGGTCATCTACAAAGTTTGCCATTGTCACAGTTCAAGTTCCAGAGCCTGGATTGAGAGGTTCAACCACTCCCCGCTGTGAATGTGGCTCAGGGGGGATTAAAACCAAATACCCCCAAACCTGAGWGAGCTCTGGCACGAGGAGCAAGAGYCSCAGCATGGAACATCCCACCCGGACRTGTCCTCATGGGAGGGACGTGGYTCTGCCCACCCMGGSACCCTCCCTGTTCCCRAAGGTCCYGAGCATTGCCCTCCCACCAGCCCTGCTTTGAAATTCCCATGGTGTTTGTGTTGGAAGCTATTGTTTCTCCCTGGGCTTTTCCTGCTGTTCCTTCCTGCCATTGCTGCTGCAGAGTCCCTGGCCGGGGGTGAAATCCCACCCCGTCACCTCCCCCTGGCCCAGCTCCGGGGGACGAGAACAAATGAGGTTTCAGTGCAAGGCCTGGGAATGAGCTGGGGCTGGGAAAAGGCCTTGTCCCAGGAAAACCTCGATGGGCAGAGAGGTGAATTAAAGTCAATGATCCGGTGGAAGGAACAGAATCAGCAGAACTGACACTCACAGAGATGTTAAGGTTAATTAATGGGTCTTTGCTTTATGGAACAGGGATTTTCAGGTCATCCCCTGTGCAAAGGCAGAGCCCCAGAAAAAGGTGGGGGAGCCCAGAACCTCCGGTCCACCCCACCCCATTGCCTCATCTCACCACACCCTATTGCATCATATCCCATCCCATCCCATCCCATCCCATCCCATCCCATCCCATCCCATCCCATCCCATCATTCAGAGAGCCCCAAAACTCCCTGGACTTGCTCTACCACCACCATTTCTACTGTGGTGTCATCCATGGGGTCACTCTGACCCCAAATTTAACCCCTGTTCTGTGGGACAAGAGAAATTCCCACTCCTTTCCCCGCTGTGTCCACTCCCATGTTTTTAATGCAAAATCCTCCCATTATTATTATTAYAATTGCTGATCCTGATGACTTTCAGCTCACTCCAAAGCTCTGTTTATTGGATTATTTATTTGAATTCTCTGTTAATTTTGCTCTGCCCGGTTGGGCCTCTGTGTTCCCAGCTGGGATGAGGTTGGCAGAGAGCAATGGGAACACCAGGGTTCTGCTTCCCCATGGGATTTGGCAGAGGAAGGGCTCCTTTCTGGGGCTCATGAGGAGCAATCCCAAACCCCACAGCAGCAGCAGRCAGCTGCCAATCCCACCATGAACATTCCAGATGGCTCCGGGCACCGGGGGCAGGATGGGCACCAGGAGCCCWGACCTGCTGGAAAATCATCCAGCAAACTCCCACCTGCCTCCCCAAAACCCTCCCAAAAATTTAGAGCCTCAGGGGCAGCGGCATGAAACCTCCTCATTTCTAAAAAAAAAAAACTCCACAGTCTGGGAAAAAAAAATCCACATAGTACCAAGAGTGTTTCACTGTTCCTCTCCGGCCTGAAAATTCCCGGCTCGAGCCAAAACCACTGTTCTCCCTTGAATCTATTCATCTTTGTCCTCCTACCTCCACAAAAACGAGCAGAGGATTTGCCCAAAATAGCCTTTTCTCCGTCATTCCCGCAGCTGTGTTTGTCTTGGTACCCAGGGAAGGCCGGGTGGGATTCCCGACGGGCGGCTCAGGCACCGGCAGCATCCCGGCACAAACYGGGGGGAGGATGAGGTCAGGGATGTTGTTCTTGGGAAGGCAACAGGAAACCGAGAGAACAGCAGAAAACGTTCAAACACAGCTTTTCTGCGCGAAAAACTCTGCCCTGGCCAAGGCAGACGGGCGGGGGACGGATGTGAGCGGGGAAAGGCGGCGGGATCCGCGTCCCGGGGACACGGGGAGGGCAGGGAGCGGATCCCGGCGGGCAGGGCGGTGCCGGAGCCCCGATCCCGGAGTTTATAGGGACGGGCAGGATGCCAGCGCCRCCTCCCCAGCGCCCGCGGGCCAAGCTTTTACTGGAGGTACTGGTATACAGGTTGAGAAGAATGATGGAACCTAATCAAATCGAATTAAATCAAATTAAATCAAACCAGCAGAGCGGCTTTTGAGCACRTCAGATCCTGCCTGAGAGCCGTCAAAGCGCATCACGCTTTGATCCGCATCGTGAAATGAAACCGGTCTGGGACTTGTCTGCGGCACTGGGGACACTGGGGGAGCCCTTGGGTCACTGCGTGTCCCCTTCCACCCAGCGCGACACTCAGGACGGGACGAACAAAACCTCCGGGAGCAGCCGGGTCCCTGCCCGCGCTGCCGCCGCCTCCTCCTCGGCAGCTGCTCCGCTTTTTCCTCCTTGGAGCGCTTCCCTCCCCTCCTTCCACCCGCGGTTTCCGAGCTCCCAGCGCACCCCAAACCCCAAGCCGCTTCCTCCGGGCGTGGGAGGCGCGGGCAGCTGCCCCCGCAGCTCCGGAGCGGCTTCCCGGGACAGGGAATTGCCGGCAGATGTTYGGAGCTGAGGAGCTTTGGGAAGGGGTCGGCGTAAAACGGGATCTGCTCCTCTGAACCTGCTGGCACCAGACCCCACTGAGCCCTGCCGCAATCCTGAGTGTCCCCAGAGGGCAGGGATATCCCTGGGGATGTGTGGCAGGTGCTGGTCCCGGTTCCCGGCTCCGGCCGAGCTTGATTCCCCCCCTGCAGTCTGGATCCCGAGTATCCCGAGGGATTCCAYGGGCCAGATCTCCCGCCCCATCCCAAGGCCACCCCATTCCCTGGCATTCACGAATTTCCAGCCAGGGAGGGACATTCCTCCCGGAATTCAGCTCCCAGGAATTAGCAGCACTCAGGGGAGCAAGGCACAAATGGGAAAACAGCTCTGGGTACCGAACACCTATTCCCCCTTATTTAAGCCAGCGGTTGCCATGGCAACAGCTGCCACAGGGATGATGSTGCTCAGCATCCCACTCCCCACCGGGATACCCGGAATGGTCCCCATTCCTTGATGGAAACCCACCACCAGCCCATCAAAAGGGAGTTTAGACTCAAACCTCGGGGCTCCAGCCTGCCTAAAAGCTGCTCCTGGTTGCAATCCCTGACCCTTTTGTCCTGCTCCAGCAGGCTAGAGGGGGACAGGGATGTGGGATGCCATGGGAGCAGCAGAAGCAGGCTGAGAACGAGCTCCTGCCAGCGAGAATCTGGGCTGGATCCTCTCCAATCCTCCCCCAGCAGCTGSAGACCCCCAGRGCAAAGGGAGGAGGCACAGCYRCTGGGGAAACTGAGGCACGGAGCTCCGCTCCAAGGGCGGTGGGAAGTTTAATCCCTACCTGCATCCACTCAGACACATCCCAGTTATCTGTCACGGATCCGGGACCCCCAGAGCCGGYAGCCTCCAGCAGCTCCCACATCCCRGCYGAGGCTGTGCACCCCGCCCGTGTGAACGGCGCAGGAAAAAGGGAATMGATGGAAAAGGCAGCTTAAAAAAAGCTGCTGTGCCCAGGGTGGGACAGAATAACATGAGTCAGTGTTTATCTGGGCACAGCCAGCTGGTTGAGCAGGACGGGCTGGGATAGGACGGGATGGATCCCACGGATCCTCCTCAACACAACGTGGGGTCACTGTGCCCCAATCCTGCCAGAAAGAGGGGTTTGACCTCAAAATTCGGGTCGTGAAAGGCTCCTCCCAGGGTGAAACTCTTGCAGAGGAACCTGACCTTCCCTGGCACAAAGTGTTGAAAGAGCCGCCCCRTTTGTAAAATCCTGGCCTTTTGCTSMATGCATTCTGYTCCTGGGAAGGTTTGAGGATTAAAGAGGAAAAATTTGGGCGTTTGTACCTAAACAGGCAAAGATTTTCTTTTAAAAAGGGCAGTTTGTGCTTCTGAGCTGCTTAAAATCACTTGACAATAAAAGTTCTTTCATCGCCTCTCTTTTTTTTCTAATAACCCCGAGTTTTCTCCTGGCACTTTTCAGGCAATAAAAAGACCAATAAAACTCCCTTTTTCAGAGCATCCTCCCTGCTGCATCCCAGCAGTGCAGTGAGGGTGTCTCTAAACATGGCTTGGGCTTTATCAGGGCTCCTTGGGGACAACACTTGGGGGCATCGCTCCAGATTTGGGGGGTACAAAGGGAAAAAAAMCCCAGAAAAACAGAAAGGGGGCTGTGGGAGGGACGTGACCCTGCAGGGGACAGCAGACTCAGCCCCCCCGAGCGAGGAAGTCACCCCGGATCCGCGGGAGCATCCTCCCAGCTGTGCTCTGTGTTCCCAGCTGAATGCTGATCAGCACGGCGAAGAAAAGCCACCCTGTTCTCTCTGTCCCCACCGAGGGGACACTGCCACACTGTCAGGACATCACCCCCCCTAAATCCACAGCTCCTCTCCCTTCCCTGCAGTTTTTCCACTCCAAAGGTTGCAAAGCTCCAAAAGGGATGGGGATTTTAGGGAAAAATTAGGGGGTTTGGGGTGAAGGACAGCAGGGATCCCAGAGGGCCCAAACCACTCTATAACAACAGGGGAGCAAAAAACCTCAAATGSTTGAAAATTCCAGCAAACCCTCCTCCCAAATCCTTATTTAAAAAAAAAATTAATTTATAAATCTGTATAAATCCAGAAGTGTTTACCTGAGCTGGATAAATCCCCAAGGAATTTTCAGCATTTAGAGRCTGGACTGGACATCTCTGCTTCTCCCACGGCCCCGTTAGGGCTGGCATGGGAATGACCCTGGGCTTGTGGCTTTGGCACCCAGCTGGAGCTGACACGGATATTGCCGAGGCCTCTCATCCCTCAGAGAGGCACATGGGATGGGAGGATGAGGGAAATAAACGCAGCCCGTGGAATAAACCAGCTGCTGGACTCAGCAGAGCTGGAGGGGGAAGCTCTGGGGGAGGATGCGGAACTTGCGGAGTTCAGCTGGACACGGACAGGGGATGTGGTGGCCGTGACGTGCCCTGTCCACCACGGCTCCTGTGCTGCCCATGGTGGCTTTGGGAATCCCCTGGGAGCCCTTGGGAAGGGTTTGGGCATCCCTTGCTGTGAGCAGAGCCAAAGGGTCCCCTCAGGATTCTCCACCCCGGCTGCCCCTCTTCCCTATTCCCCAGGACCCCAAATCCATGCCCTGCTCCTGGGATGCTCCTGACCTCGTAGATGCAGGAGAGGGGTAACCCAAAGCCATCCCTGGGGTGCAGGGGAGAGGGGGAACTGCTTGCCAGGTCCTGCCCATTCCCAGCTGGGGWCTGGCAGTGCATTCCCAGTGAGGAAATCAGCCTGTCCTGGTTTGCACTGGAACCCCAAAGAGAGGGTCACCATCCTGACCTGAACTCTGTGCCTGCCAGGAGCTGGAAATTGCCAGTGGCATCCACAGTACATCCAGTGATCTGGCACGGGCTGAGCCTGGATGGACTGAACCCCTGTCCTGAGCCAGGATGGACACAAACCCTGTCCTGAGCCTGGATGGACACAAATCCCTGTCCTGAGCCAGGATGGACACAAATCCCTGCCCCGAGCCACGACAGCTCATCCAGAGGGAGATGCACAATACCTGCCCCAAAAGCTACACCGGAGCAGCACCTCCCACCGTAGCCCCCACCTGCTCTCCATCATCGATATCCATGAGTTTTCCAGCTCTCGGTTTCAGCAACGCACGAAGGACAAATCCCAATTTGTTCAGGGCCAGAAACACAACAGGAAAACGGGACAGTGAGGAGCCATGGCAGGCGGGAGCTCACGGCCACCGTGTCCCGTCAGGTGGGGACATTGATCTCAGTCCCACACGGACGAGCTCCCGTGAGAGCGGAAAAAGAGGAATTGGAGCCGCTGGCAGCTTTGCACAACTCTGTGTCGCAACATCCCTGAGCTGAATCAGGGGGAAAAATGAAAAGTGCTGATGGGGCTGGCRCGGGAAAAGGAGAAGCCCCAAAAACCCCGAAGTGTGAGCTGGGAAGGGATGTGCCAATCACCCTGAGACGGGCAGGGCGGCTCCTGAGCGGATCCCCGGTCGGGGTCTCTCTCTCCCAGGGGCTCGCAGGACCCCCGGGATGGGGTGGGAGCTCCAGGATATTCCACACTTATGGCACCTGCAGCCCCTCTGCAGCGCCCCAGGACAGCAGGGAATGCAGCTKACTCCCCAAAATTATAAAACCCGTGAGAAACACGGACCTGGCTGGGCGGGGGGGTGGCACTGCCCCACCGCTCTGCCACCGGCTCCTGTCCAGTCTGCTCCCAAGCAAAACCCTCCAGTGCTCCCAGTAATATCGCCAGTGCTCCCAGTACCATCCCCAGCGCTCCCAGTAACATCCCCAGCGCTCCCAGTACCCCCACCAAGCCCTGCAGTGACCTTTCCCAATACCTCGTGCGGTGCCAAGGCTCTCCCGCCGCTCCGTGCTGGGCAGGACGAGCTCGGGGTGCCCCGGGTGCCAGCGGGATCCCATTCCCAGGCTGATCCCGATGCGCCGGGACCGGGCACAGACTCGGGGCCGCTCCCCGCCTGTTTTAAGGGAGCGGGGTGGGGAAAGGAATTGCATCCATCACACCGAGGGTTTTCTTGGCAGCGCGGTGCTCGGCGAGCAACAGCTGGGAGAGGGTGTGACGCCGGGAGCTGGGAACGCTGGCCTGGATCACAACCCAGCGTGAGGAAGCAACAAACCGCTTCCCAAGGGGCCTCCTTTCCTGTGCCGCCCCCCCCGGCCGGCAGCACACCGCCCCACCGAGGGATAACGGAGCCCGGAGCGCTCCGCAGGGATGCTGCTCCAGCCGGGAGCCCGAGGGGAGGCAGGTGGCTGCCAGTCCCCGCCGCTGTGCTGTCCCCACCCTGGGTCAACCGCTGTCCTCTGCTCCCCCCACCGCCCCCAACTCCTTCCAAGACGTTGAGTCACTTCCCCTCGGCAAATCTGGCTCCCAAACGCCGCTCCTGCTGCTCAGGGGCTGCTTTATCCCGATGGATTTCATTACCACCGGGATGCTGCAGCTGCTTCCAGGCAGCCCCCCAGCCCGCAAAGGCTCCCTGGTGGCATTTCTGCCACCCTCAGCCCTTTTAACAC